ACTGCCGCGCGAAATTCCTTTTCTTTTCTTTTCTTTTTTATGCTCAGCTAAAATTGCCCGCTTCTCGTTGTTAAGTGGGTTGACAGACAAATGACTGATTATAACCGTAACAATTGACTGTTGGCGGTAAAAAAAAAATTATTAACAGATTATTGATCATTAAAGTGCTAACTTCTTCTTCTTCTGCTTGTTTACTTTACTCAAATTACGATAAAGTGTTTAAGAGATTTATTTATTGCTATCAAAATCTTGATTTTAAGCAACTTTTCTTTTCGTATCCTATGTGAAAGACTCTTATTTAACGTTATATATATATATATATATAGCTCTCCCTGATTGATAGCTTACTTTATGATTATTCTGCTTATTTGTAATAAGTCGATCGTGATGGTCGTGCTTTTAAATTGTTAGGTTAAGGTAGATTACATTTCATTTGCATTACAGTTAAGCTTACATAGTATGTTACGTGCACAGTGTTGTCGTTTAATTGCTTTCGATTTGACTTTAGTGTCCACAATGTGGATTTATCGCGTGTAAAGGGAAATATTATTCGCTTTAACTCGAATGAAAAAGTGTCGATTTAGTTGTCGTGTCTACAAACAATTTCAAATTTAATGTAATTTTTTAATCATAACAACTAATGCGAGAGAGAGAGAGAGAGAAAGAGAAGAGATCGTGTGTAAGAACTTTTGCGATATTAAATCGTTTGTCTCGTGCAATTTTAGAAAAGGTATTAAGAAATTTGAGATTTAAAAAATAAAATTTTCTCTTAACAAAAGCGATTACGATCGATCTTCGAAGCAAATCATTTCAATTTTCTTACGTTCAAGTATGCTTTCACGTTTGTTAAACAGTTGTATTGCAGTTCATTACATGTCTCGAATATTTAATTATCTGTAATCTCTGTTAATTAATTAATTAATTAATTTTACAATCAAAATTATTTAATACACGTAACCATTTGTACTTTATATTGTGCTTAAAATGTAACAACAAAAAATATTATATTATTTTGTCGAACATAATAATTTGACCTCATTTTATGCTTTGTTTCATGTGTATTTAGTCGCATCCGATATGTAAACTTTTGTTTTTTTCTTTTTGGTTTCAGGCAATAAACATTTTATGCAAAAAAAATCCATTGTACCCCTAACAGCACACGAAAGGCAAACAAAGTTTTGTAATTTGTTTATAATCGTACGGGACATGAAGGGTTAATTATTGACCTTCGAACGCTCTCATCGCGGACACTAAAGACCTATTAATGCAGTTAAGAAGCTTCCCTGTTGTTCACAAATGAATGCCATTCATTGAGTCTATTGGCATGCTTTGGACTCATTCTTTCACTTTTATTTAATATTTAATAATGAATTTTCGTTCGATTGGACGACACAATGCTTCGAATAAATCGTTTAAGCAAAGCGTTAACATATTCAATAATATTTTGTAGAGATCTTCCCAAAAAAGTAAGGCGTCTACTATCTATTGCTTTTGCCATGCTTTGTTGTTGCACAAAATAGATAGGTACTCGAGATTCGTCTTAAAGGTCAGTATAAATTTTATTTGTAATATTTTGTTGTTATTGTTTTTGTTGATAAATACCTCATTCTTAACATTGCCCTACATTTAAATACAGTTTTTGTTTTTTTTTTTATTTTTTTTATTTTTATTTTGTTTTTATTTTGTTTTTATTTTGCTTTGCAGTAAAATCAATGACTACGCGTTGTTGTAAATTAAGCGAACACGCAAACTCTCATTAACAAGGCAAAAATTATTATTTGGCCTGATAACTAAGTATAAATAACAAATTAAGAGATAATAATAAATATATTTAAAAAAAAAAAAAAAAACAAAAAAAAAGTATGCAAGAATTTGCAAAATCTTCTTCTTCTGTTATCCGCTAACACCTTAAGCTCAGCTTAACATCAAAATCGCCAAAATCTATTCTACTCGTATTATTATTAATATTCGCAGTTACTTTAGGCTCATATTGATATTAAAGAAGAAGCAAAAAAAAGGGAGAGAAAATCTCCCTCACTCTGCTATACGTTAATGTGCAAGCATTTGTTTTAACATAAGACGCTTCACTCACTTCCTAACAATGCATGGCGATCGATCTCGTTTTTCGTATCATGACAAATCTATTGTACAGAGCTTGGCGCTCGAAGCAAAGATGATGCATTTTTTTGGGGCATCTTTGGACGGCAAAATCATTTATAAACGAAACATTATTCTGCCCTTTCGTGACACAATTTCGTGCACGATCTAAAAGCATATCGTCATCTCATCTAGTATCGTCCGCTTTCGATTCGCATGAAGGTTCTCCTTAGCACTGCAACTAAAATCAAATAAACTAAAGCATGAATCCATCCTACATTACTTGAAAATCAACTCTTATAACGAAAACAAGATCAACTCCTCCTTGTTATGATCAACTTGCGTTCTTGCCTTTCTTCTTTTGTAATCCGTACAAAAAGTCAAACAATTTCACCCTTTCCTTTAAAGTGTTCCTCTCGTGGAAATTCTATCGTAAATATCTCTTTCAAGCCGAAAACTTATCGTAACCGCAACTTGCTGCTAAACAGTGAAAGGTTTGAAAAAACGAAGTCTAAGATAGACCTCGCACTGGACTTCACATGATCGGGCGCCTTCTCCCAACAAAGTTGTTTGATCAATTTTTGTCGATCTGTCAACTCAGCTTACTTGAAATCTTCTCCACCTACACCATGCATGAAATGCATGCAATAAGAATAGAGACTATCAGGTCTGCGAACTGTGGGTCAAATCGCGTCACAACGATAGATAAACACTTTAATTACAATTGACAAATGATGTATGGCAGCTATGGTAAATACTTTATCGGTGAAGTTGCAGCACTGATGCGGCCGCGTCCTTTTGCTCTTCCTTCTCGATAATCCGCACCCGTTCAAAGGAAAATGGCATCCCTTGCTCTGTTATGCATTGAGAATTTTCGAAATGGCCTCTAGCACGGCTCAGGTCGGCTTCGCCTGCTTGATGCATGGTCAGCGTTCGACGTCGACCATTATTGCTTTTATCTAATCCAACCTTTAGTAACTTGGACGAAAAATTGTATTATGATTTGTCGATAGCTATCTATCTAGAAGTCATTAAGTAATGCGAATCGAGCAATATGAAAGCAAGTGTCCGTCAATATGAAAAGAAACAAAAATGGAGAAAACAAAAGAACCCAAACTGCTTGTGATCGTCCGATAGAGTTGTGGTTTGTTCATAAACGAAAAATAATTTCTTCTCATTTATCTTTATCAGCGTAAGCTGATGTTGACTTAAAAAAAGGAAATAATTCGTGGATATTTACGAAAAAGAAGAAGAACAAGGAAACAAAACTGCGATTTCATGGTTAGCAAGTACATGACCGGCCGCATAAAGTGCAGAGACGCTGTTCAAAGTCCACAATCAATGCTTATTCACACGATTGGCGAAATACGTATTTTGATCGAACACAAGTAAGTAATTAATTAGCGAGAAAGAGTCTTTAAAGAAAAAAAAAAAACAAAAACAACAAAGGTCATTAATACAAAGTGTTCGTAGCCTAAGTGTCAGATGATAGTAATCAGACTTGTTTGATATCCGACTTTTTACCAAAAAAAAAAAAAAAAAAAAAAAAAAACCTATAGAGAATTATTAAAGAGTAAGAAGAGTAGCATTTAGCAGTTAACGGAAAAAAGAGTTCGAGATGAAAGAACCTTACACGAGGCATGCACGCATATAGTCAGATCCGGCATTGGCAGTTAGCACCAAATGTTTTTAGGCGTGACAGCGTGAATGACAATAAAACTCACACACAACGACAACATATATAGCGCAGACATTTGCTTTCTAACACCACTTGGACATTGATTGTTTAATTCATTTCCGCAATCAATCAATGCCTTTGCAATCCAAGTCAAGCCAACTCAAGTCAAGTCAGTCTTGTTTCAAAGTTTTTCGCGATTGCTTCACATTTTTGACCGTATTACAGGCAGACACTTGGGAATGTGTCGCGGTTTTCTTTCTTAGCGAAAGTAGATTTTAGGAACTCTTTTATCGGAAGAAAGAATGAACATATGGACATATGGACATGAACGAAAACATTTGTACAATTGAAAAGTAAATACATTAACTTTGATTCCGCGAAAAAGTGAAATGAAGACTTTTTTTTATTACTTTTTCACTGGAAATCAAAGAAGTCTAGCTTATGATAGGTTTTTGCAAAGAAAAAAAAAAAAAAGAAAAACTTTTTCTTGTCTTATTTAAAGCCACAACCATATGACGCTTAACTTATATAAGTGAAAAAAGAAGATTTCGCAGTTAGCGTTAAAAATTAACTTTTCATATAAATTAATGCTAATGATTAGTTAACTTTCTACTTATTTTGTCACTCATTTAATTGTTTTTCTGAGCGACACTTTACGAGACATGTGCCATTTTCTCGATTAGAAAAAAATCCTAATTGCTTTTAATAATGTTTGTCCGACCGTCTGTCCATATAGTTTTGTTTCCTCCGATCGACATAACGCTTTAAAGCCGGTTTAATACTTTCTGTTAATGTAATTTGAAAATTTACCTAAACCTTTTTGGTTTTCATTCCATAGATCAAATCTAAATGGGATCAATATGCTCCCAAGTATATATATATATATATATATATATACGGAGTGAGCTATGAATTTTTAAAATTACTTAGGAAGACTTTAGATTACAGAAACATTACTGATCTACTTGAGGTATCTCTCAAACGCGCTTGTATAGGAAACGATTTTTAAAAATTTATTAATTTTTTATCTTTCAACTTGAAGATGAGCGATTTTCAAATCGATCAAATTTTCTTTCTAATTTCCCATTTACCCAATAAAATTGCTTTAGGTTCTCGTAACGTTTACTTCATCGTGTCTCTATTTTCTTAAAACACTTTAAGGAAAAGCAAAAATCATCGAAATGAATTTAAGCGAATACTATTACAAATGTTTCAAAATGCTTACCGCTTGAGTAATTGATGCTGTTGTTGTAACATTTGCTGCTACTACGGCCGCAGCTGCTGCTGCTGCTGTTGCGGTCGTTGCATTAGGGGAGTAAGAGTACGAGCTACTGCTATTGGAGGAATTATTTGAGTATAAAGCCGTTGATGACATTTGCTGATGTTGCTGTTGTTGTCGTTGATTGACGGCAGGCAATATAGTATTTGGTGTTTGACGATCAACTAAAGGTTGACGTTGTGGTTGTTGCTGTTGTTGTTGTTGTTGTTGAATCGGACTAGATTGCTGTTGTATTAATTGCGAGGATTGTTGTGTTTGCTGCTGCTGTTGTTGTTGGCTATCGCCGTTTAAACGTTGCTGAATTTCACCAGTTGTAGCATTTTGATGGTCCTGCCTTGATGTTCCATTTATTACTCTCTCCATGCTGCTATTATTATTATTATTGTTGTTGTTGATGTTGTTGTTATTATTAAAATTTAAAGCAGCTGTAGCATCAAAATTATTAATTTCGGGATGTGTCTCCAATTCAGTTTGTAAATCGCATATATAATCGATAACGTGTTGTATTATTTCCAATTTGGAGAGTTTACGATTTTTAGGCATAAACGGTACCAAATCCTTTAATTTTGATAAATACATTTTCATTTCGGCATTTTCGCCATCGCCACGATGTGGCGGATGACGATTAATACGCCCGTTCGGATTAATTGCTGGCATTGAGGCACCAGTTTGGCAGACAGCCGTTAGCGATTTCATTTTAGAAATGATGGCCTTACGTTCTTTGAGTAGAATTTTGGCGGCTGTTTTTTTAACCCAACTATTATTATTAATTAAAAAAAATTAAAATAATTTTAAAGCCGTGATGGTAGTTTTTGGTTTGTATTGGAACACTTTTTCAAAAAAAAAAAAAAAAAAAAAAAAAAAAATTAAAAAAAAAATAGAGGATTTTAAGTTAAAAAAATAAAGAAAGTTTTTTATAATTTTTTTTTTTTTTAAAGATTAATACTGTTGTTCTTCTTCTTATTATTATTATTATTATTATTATTAACTTTTGGCACCTTTAACCACTTAATAAATTTTCTTTATGAATTTCTTCTTTCGTTATGTTTTCTTCTTTTTTTGCTTTTTTTGTGATGTTTTCCAAAGAAAATTTCAAGTATGCATAACGTTTGTTTATAAGAGAAAAATGCTCTTGGATTATAATTTTCTTTTTGACCGTTAATTTTATAAATATTTTTATGCTTATTTGATGTGTTAAGTCGAGGAAAAATTGAAATATTTTCCTTATTCTTGTTTAATTAAACAACTTTTTTTTTTTTTTTTGTTAAATTTCTTTTTATTTAAAACAAATTCTCAGAGACACACACATGTGCAAAACAGTATTCTTCAATTCCAAACTTGTATACGCTTTGAGCAACAAACTCGTTATGAACTTTTCATGCTCAGAGCACATGTTTTTATACCTACGACCTAACTCCGCCTATTGTTTCATTGAGTATAAGAAAATACTCTTTACACGCGTTCGTTTACTTTCTATTGCGAGAATTTGATAACCAAGAGTATTGAAACAATCAAAGACGACAGAGAATAATAGAAACCGTAATAGATTGATAGAGAGAGAGAGAGAGAGAGAAAGAGCGTGAAAGGGGGAGAGAGAAAGGAAGAGAGAGAGAGCGAGCGAGAGAGAGAGAGAATTAAAAAATAATTTGTTTCGGTTTAACAAGCAAAATAGCATTAGTGCAGATGAATGTGCGGTTATGCGCATTGAAAAAAACCTAAGCAAGTACTCGTGGGAACCAATAATTGTTGGGATATTTTTCGTCTGGGGGTTTTTTGTGTTTTCTTTTCTTTTTTTTTTGTTAAAACTTTTTTCGTTTTTGTTTTTTTCATTCGCACTTTGTATGCATAAAAGATTTTCAAGAGTTTAATTATATGAAAATTGTTGTGTAGAGCGTAAATTTGTGCAGGGTGAGAGTAAGATTTTGCAATCAATTAATGAAAGAAAGTGTTGAGAACATTTCATTGCTTTATTGTTTAGAAAAAATAAAAATAAAAAATAGGAGATGCTTGCTTACATAGGCATCATAGGCCTAAAGGCAAGCATATGCTTTCTTCTAACAATTAAATGATGAAAACAAAAGCAACAACAATATATAAATATTTATATATATATAAATGTATATATATATATATATATATATATATATGTAGGAATGTGTGTATTTATATGTATTATACAACACCTGTAAACACTTATTCAATATCTGCCTATATATATATATATATATATATATATATATATATATTTGCATACAACTCTTATGAATTTTGATATCGGGGTTTTTTTCTTTTTTCTTTGTTATAAGATAAATAAACTAATAACTTTAAGCAGAAACAAAGAAATTTTATAAATTTATTCAAAGAAAATCACACATTACTCTGCCAAAGAACATTTAATTTCAAAAAAAAAAAAACTAAGTAAATAAAAAACACAAGTAATCGTTGGATGGAAAAAGTGAAATAATTTCAAGTTTAGTTAATCTGCACACAATGCCAATCATTTCTGAATTCTAGACGCTGCTTTAGCCTCAATGATGATGAAATTGCATTAAACTGCATACATAATTTTCAGCTAAGAATAGCGTAAGAGAGTCGCATATTTTTTTTCTTTTTCAGAGTCGAAATTCTTGTCTTTAATGCATTTAGAGCTGGTGGGAGTACGTCTTGCTACGGACGGACGTATGCTTCCTTTGAGGGAACTCGCAAAAAAAATTTCATCAGGAAGCAGTTTTTCTTTGCACTTCTCACCTGTTCGTCACAAAGACGTTATCGCGTATCCTATGGAGTAAAAGTCCATTTTTAATTTATAATCTTTTGCTATAGCTGTTAAACTATAGATAGCAGCACTCGGCCAATCGCTAATTGCTCTACATCACTTCGCATAATATAGTTATAAGTGCTTTTTAAAATAAGGTGTTATATGCGAAGGAGTCGAACCGAACCATTCGAACCGAATAGTGTTCGTCCTAATGTCAAGGCAGCTTAGTGTACCAAATTGCGACGTGAGGATGAGCACAAGGTAACATGACTCACAGACAAACTTAGACAAGTCCTTGCTCAAGTCCTTCTGGGTGTTGCATGCATACATACATCTGCACTAACTTAGCAATAATAATAGGAGATATTCTTTGCTATTGCACTTGTATTTTACAACTAAATTGTGTTTGTGAACCGACAATATAACATTTTTATATAGGATTTGTATAGGTCTGCCAACATGTAAATAAAAAATTTGTTTTCTTCTTTCGAGGCTCACTTGACCCAATGCATGCAGGCGCCGTTCGGCCTGTTGAATAACCACACTTACCTAGATCATGGAAACTTACTTCAAAGATCACGATCAAAGTAACTGTTTAAGCGGAATATAAAAAAAAAAAAAAAAAGTGTACGAAAAAGCTATCTACTTAGACACTTTTGTGTCTTAATCACCTTTGCAATGCAACGGATACTGAGATTTTGCAAGCATTGTAGTGAAATGACAATCGTAAGCATAAGGAAGGACATAGGGATATAGGATATTTTTCTGTATAGCTGCAGTCAGAACGAAAAAAACATAAATAAATAAAAAATGATAAGAAATGCCTTAAATCATTCATTTGAAATCTTTCATCTTAAACATAATATGAGATCATTAGCGATTTGTTCGTTTCAACGCGGGAATGTTTTCGCTAATTTTTTACGATTTAAAGATTTTATCCCATATAATCTTCAATTTTTGGCTCTCGACGAATAACAGAAATCTTAATCTTCGCGTGTTTAAAATAAAAAATAAAACTCGTAAAAATTCCTAACCACAAAATAAGTTTACCTAAGAAACTATAGGAAAAAACAAAAAAAAAAAAGAAAAAAGAAATCGTTACCAGAAATATCATTTATTATTAATTATTTTCTTTTTCTTTATAGTTCTATTGAGTTTATTAACGATCAGATGCGTTCCCTGTTAAACAGGGGTACGAATTAATGTATCATCAATTTCACTTTACAAATAACAATTTTACTTAAAATATGCTATGTAATGAGAATGGTTTCGCTTTAACAATTAAAAATACATTAATTCCCTGAAATCTATTGGAAGACATTACAAAAGCTACTCTTTAACATAGAAAACGAATCAGTTTAAGAGAAGAGAGATTATTTATTTTGCTAAACTCATTTCTAAATAAAATAAATCTCTTTATAGCAAGAATCGCCATCAAAATAAGGAGCATAAGCAACTTTTCATTTACTTTTTAAAAAATTTGATACGAAACCCCTTCAAAAACCAATATTAATTGAATGATTAAGATATATATTTAATTTCAACGAGAGATTTCCTTTAGTAACCAGTTGGGGTAACAAAAATTCCCCTTAAAAGAAGTACGAAATGAGGAGAGATTTATGAAAATTTACTTTGATATTTTTGAAGAAAAATTCCCCATAAACGCAATTTTTTGATCACTTAAGATTAATTGTACCACAAAATATCCCATACAGAGAGAGAATTCCCTAATGGGATAATATTTCAAGTTCAAAAATGACCTTTTCTTTTTAGAAGCACGATACCGTAGCAAAGAAGTAGTGACAAAAAAAAAAAAGAAGTAAAACGAGGGAAATAAGTTATGGTAGAAATAGGAACATATTTGACGGGGAAATTTTCCCTTTATTCTTATAAATCAAAATATGAATAAGTCAAGCGAAGCAATGATATTATTGCTTAGCTTAAATTCGTGAAAATAATGATTTTCCAGTGTGTAGCATTGCTCGCAACAACAGATCAAATTGAAGGTGATAGTTAGTATATATAAAAATGTAAAAAAAAAAAAAGAAAAAAAAATTTGTTATAGAAAAGAAAAATGTTAGATGTAAAATTTTGAAAAACATCAATGCTACCTTGTATTCAGTTTGAACGTTAAACAAATTTGATATAAGATTAACTCACTTATCAAAATTAAGAGAAATATCTGTTAGTCTGTATTTAATTAAAAGAGCATATGATTCAACCAAATTTGACTGATCTAAAGATCATTTTATAAGACTCTGTATTTCAATGTTTATATAAACCTTTAAGGAGTATGCGGAGTACATTAACGTAACCCTATATTTTCGTATTTACATTCATTCCCCTTTGAGCATTAGTATCGTTAAGAGAATGAAATCTTATTTCTTAACAGTTAAACAATATATTTTTGACTATATGAAAATCAAATTATCGTTGACAATTTTCAAAAAACAAAAAATATAAAAATATATATCATATTTAATAATAATAAAAATAAGAAAAAAATCCCATAATAATAATAATTTGAAATAGAAAAATACCGTCGAAAACATCTGTGTTTTTATACAACAATTTTCCATAAGTTAGTAAATTTTACCCTCGTATTACAATAACGTACTTCTCTCATAGCTGATTGGTCGGTTTCCTTTTTTTTTTTCTTTCTTTCTTTCTTTTTTTGCTATATAAATTAACATATGTGCTCATAATATGTTAATAGCAAAATTTCATTCACTTAAGATCTATAAGAGAGTTCTGTTGTTCTGTTATAAATATAAAAAACAACAAAATTCCCTTATAAAGATTTTTGATAAATTCAAAGAATTTAGTTACTTGAATTCGTGCATTCGTGCACGGCATGTGCTTCTTATTGCAGCAATCTTCTGATGAAATGCATTTGAGAAGAGAAATCAAATGTGGAGATTTAATATTCTTCAAATTTAAGAGAATAACTATTGCAAGTTAATGGGGAAATTCAACAACAGTTTTTCTTTCGCGTTAAGCATTAACAAAAACGAAAATTCCCTCTACGATGACCGGCAATTTCTCCTGCATATAGTTGGAGGATATTTTTTTCTGCATTAAAAATTCTCTTTGTCTTTTCAGTTTACATTTAAATGATGAGTAAT